TTTTTTTTTTTTTTTTGGAGACAGAGTGTCATTCTGTCATCTTGGGTAGAATGACCTGGCTTCGTAGCTCACAGCAACCTCAAACTCTCAAGCTCAAGTGATCCTCTTACCTTAGCCTCCCAAGAGACTCCCTGGGACTACAGGCACCTGCCACAATGCTGAGCTAGTTTTTCTTATTTTTTCTTATTTTCTTGCTCAGGCTGGTCTTGAAATCCTGAGCTCAGGCAATCCACCTGCCTTGGCCTCCCAGAGTGCTAGGATTGGAGGTACGAGCCGCTGTGCTGGCCATAGTATCAATTTTCATTTTGGAAGTCAAAAATTAGCATACCAATCATCATCTATTGGGAATACCATTTTTTTCCCTTTCCTCTTTTTTTGACATAGGGTTTCATTCTGTAGCCCAGACTAGAGAGCAGTGGCATGATCATAGCTCCCTGTAGCCTCTAACTCCTGGGCTCACAGGATCCTCCTGCCTCAGTCTCCTGAGTAGCTGGGACTACAGGCACATACCACCATGCCTGGCTAATTTGTTTTAATTTTTTAAGCAATGAGGTCTTGCTATGTTGCCGAGGTTAGTTTCAAACTCCTGGCTTCAAATGCTACTCCCATCTCAGCCTCCCAAAGTGTTGAGATTACAGGCGTTAAGTCACTGCACTCAGCCAGAGAATACCATTTTAACCTTTAAAAATGTGCATAACATAAAGTTGGAAACATGTGAAGGTGACCAGATAGGAAAACTGAGGCTTTCTTAAGATATTTTTATTTTTTTACTGAATAATACAATCGATTATTTTAAGGGTTTAAATTCTTTCATATTGCAGGAATAACAATAGTAAAAAGAAAAATAAACATTTGTTAAATTTTTACTAAGTACAAGAAATTTCTCAATCTGTAAAATGTCCATGACTCTGTGTGATAGATGAAAAACCTAAGAGTTTAAGACTCTTGACTAATAGCAAATTTCAAAAGCCAGGAATATAAGGGCAATCAGGGAGTCTTGAGAGGCTGTTTAAATTCAATTGCTTTGGTGAAATATTTTCTCATTGGTACTAATTAGTAATTTCAAAGCAAATGTTTGCTTAGAAACAATTGCAATAGATCAGCATAAATCTACCATCTTCACCCTTAAACTTTCAATCCTATGGTCAAGCACAAAAATGTATAGCCTACTTCAATCTTATATGATACAATTTATCCCACAAATAGTCACCACCTTCTTATATTCAAGTGACTGTTCATTTGGATTCCAACTCATGAAACTTTAACTGCATTCCACAATTAAGTTTCAATCCACTCATTTATTCAATGAATACTGAGTGCTACAACACTTGGAGTGAATGCATGCTGAAAATACAGTCAAATCCCTCATTAAGTTCACTTTTTAGTAGAAAAAGGAGCTATCAGAGAGACGGATAGACAGATAAAATAATGTTGCTATGTTCTTATGGCAAAATCTGAGAGTTGTCACTCAGTGATCATTATCTCCTTGGTCAGTGAAGTTATCCATAATTTTAACTGGGCACTTGACCTCCCGGAGTACAGGCTACATTTCCCAACCTCTCTTGAGTTCTGTATGGCCGTGTGACTGAGTTCAGAAGAGGAATGAGCAGTATGAAGACACGTTCTGAAGGGGAGACAGTTGCCTTTCCCATTCCTTTTTGTTTTTTTTCTGTTGGCTGGAAAAGTGTGCACACTGGCTAGAGCTGAAGCAGACAATTAGGCCCAAGGGGTATATGTTTTAGGGATAATGGAGCAAAAAATTAGAAAGTAATTGAGCCCCTGATAATTATGTCAATAATGCAAACCCTCCATTACTTAACTCTAGACTAAGCATCATTGTCCATCTTTTAAAGTCTCTTTTCTTGGGAGTTTTCTGTCATTCCCATCTGACTTTGTCTTAACTGTGATACAGCAATATAAAGAAAAATGAAGCATAGCAATGGACTGCACAGAATGGCACAGTGTGATATTTAAGACAGGGTGATTAGGGAAGGATTTTATGAGGAATTGACATCTGAGCAGAACCCCATATGATGTGGGAATGAGCCACGGGAGGAGAAGCATGTTTCAGGGAGTGGGAAATAGTGAAAGGAAAAGGCCAGGTATGGGGATGTGCTTCTGTGTCCAAAGACCGGCTAAGAGGCCAACATGAAAAGCCAGTCATTGAGACCTCTTACCCTACCATTCCCTCTAGCAAAAGCCCTTGACTCTAGACTTTATAGAGACTGGTCAACATTGCAGGGACTGGCTTCTATGGGGTCCCTTCAAAAAGCATGACACAGTTATGAGTCTAAGAGCTTTTATGCACCTTCAGGGCTCAACCTCTAATGGCCCATTTCTAAATGTTCCCCTACATCACTATTCAAATATTACCCATTTTTATGAACCTAGCATGAGTTCTCAGTCCTGCTTAAGAAGTGGCTCTGTTGATCCACCCCACATTGGTTTCTTTACTCTTGAACCTCCATAGACATCATTGTCCATACTGTTCACTGTAATTATAAACCATCTATCATCCCCTTCCGATTCACATAGGAGCCTCTTGCCATCTCAATCAAGATGTAGCTAAAGAACTACATGTTAAAAAGGTTTTAAGATTCTTTTCAGCTGCTATCACCTCAAACAGAGGTGCTCAATAAAAACTTTCTGAATGTCCAATGAATGAACACTTCATTCAAACAGCTCACAAACTAGAAACACAATGGAGAGAACTTAATCTGTCCCTGTTCCTCCCTTCCGCCAGGAAGATATGAGTAGCTGAAGTATTTGGTGCTATATATAGTCAGTTGATGTCAGCTGGATGCCAATCTCTTCAGAAAAGCTCAGTCCCCAGTTTGAGTCAGAGCTAGGGACCATGCTGTCCCAGGTTCCAGGATAAAAACCATCGGCCCAAGTGCCATCCATAATCCATCTCCAGAGTCTTCTTCCATAAATTGGGATTCATCCCTGCTGAAAAGCACAGTCTAACAGCTAGGTGAGTATATTGTTTCCTAAAATGTTTTATTAGTCACTTGTCCAAGGAGGTTCAGAGTTGTGACTCATATGTGGGCATTCTTTGCTTTAAAGAACAGCTGTTGCCAGTAGTAAAATGCCACCATCAAAGAGTTCTGGTTTAATCTGGTGTCTTCTTCAGTCTTTCAATTTGCTGAGTTGATGTAGTGTGATGCTGATACAAACGAAGGCCAGGAAGGAAACAATGGCAGACTTGAATAAACTACGGAGACGCGAGAGGCAGGGGAAAGGAGGCCAGGTTTTTCATTGTCTCTGACTGCCTGATAATCATACTAAGGTGCAGATAAGACTGGGTCTGAAACTGAGTACCACCCTCTGTTCACTGTGACCTTGCCTGCCAAGGAATAGCATGCTCTGTCACCAGATAAGGAATGCATATTAAAGTCTTTCAGTAGAGAGCAGTAATAAATTCTTAATAAAGAACAAAGATGTTCTCCTTCAAAAGGATGATCATAAAACACTCCAAATGAGTTCCTTACATTGCCTCAATAATGCCCCTTTATTTTTAACAGGGAACCAAAAAACCATGCTATCACATAATACCATGGTGAAGCAGAGGAAACAGCAAGCATCAGCCATCCTGAAGGAGATCCATGGAAATGGTACCAATAAAAATCCTTTGTAGCGTTCGTGTAGCTCAGCGCTAATGCAGACCTCTCCCGATGTTGTTTAACATTTTGTGGTTTACGTCCTTTAAATTCTTGCTGTTCTGTCGTAACAAACCCGGAGCACTAGGAGGTGCAGGGAAGCCTATGGTAACTAAGCCTTTTGTAGTCATTCTTTCTCATCTGAAAGCTATTTTCAGATGAACAACTGCTGTAAAAGGAATGAAGCAATCTGACAGCTGATGTACATTCTGCTTGGCGTGGCTTTCTCATGATAAGCTGATTTCACTCTCAATTCTTTTCCTGGGGGGGTTAGGTCTCATTTAATCTTATCTTTGTTGTCCATTCCCCATCATTCAGCTTGATTTCTTTTACCTTATATTACATAAATCATTCAAAATATGTTCTATCTTCTTTTTTTTTTTATAAAAGCTATTAAGTTGGAATGCATATTCATTGTCTAAACCCCAAACCAGTCTTCACATTCAATAATCAATTTACTAACATAGTTTGTGCACAAAATCTACTTTTATTTATAATTTTCAAGAAAATGCAGAGAAAGTTCTTGTAGTCCCCAAACGTACGACCCGACAAATTTTTGATATATATTACATGCAAGGGGATATTTCACTCTCTTCTTTAAATTCTAGCAAATGACTCTGGAAAGCAATGCTTTATACTTGTGTTTTGATTATTATAAGGGAAACACAACTTGATTCATGAAGAAAGCATAGCAGCCACAGCTTATAATGTAGAATGTCCAGATACATCCAAATCTTTTTAAGGGCTGATTGGAGCCTTTCTAGATATATTTGTGGAATTTTCAGAAAGGAATGCAGCCTTTCACCATAACAATATTAAGGCCTAGAAACTTGAGACCTCAGAGCAAGTTTTAGTAGAATGTTTTTATATTGGATTTTCCACCAAGCACGCTGAACAGCACCACGGAAAGTCATTTAGATGCTCCCCACATAAATGATTGTGTTGTTACATCTGTTTTCCGTTTTCTGCAATACAAAATCACCATATTGGATTCGACCTGGCTCTCATTGTTTTCTTATGATATCAAATAAGTCTGGAATAAAATGAGAATAATACTGAACCAGATACCAGAATTAAATGTGTACTAACACAAAGTTACAAAATGTATGCTCGTTTTAAATGTTTAAGTATCTTGCTATTTTCTACTTTGAGTTGTCTACTTGAAGTTGTTTGCGTGGTTTTTCTGATCAATGAGGCAAAAATCAGACCATCACTTGAGTTTGATCTTAAATTATTTACATAAAACCAGACCTTCAGCAAGTTTTCATTTTCTAATAACATCATAATCATAAATCGGTCAGTCCGTTTCACGTATTTCCCATCTAAATCCTATGTGGGAGACATGGACCTATTAGGGTAAGCTCTTTTTTTATAAACATAGCTATTGTTTTTATGAAAAATACAGCAAAAATACAACTATGTCCCAGAGAGGAAAGAAATCCTCAAAACTCCTATCTCACCACCAGTGAACCCTAGCCATGTAAAGCTATTCCTCGCACACCACTGGACGAGTTCCAGCCCTGTAAGAGGAATCACATGCTCTGCCTTTGTTTGGATGGCAAGTATTTCAGACAACTCGGGGATAATTAGACACATTCTTAACTCATCCCAGATAAAATAGCTGTAATACTTTATGAAATGGCTCAGATATTTAATTTATTTACTCATATTTCCTTTGACATCATATATGGAACTTTACTATCTGTATACTGCATAGTGTTTGGAGGACTGGGATTCAGGATATATTGTTTCTTCTAAGGATGAAGAAATGAAACATGGGCTTCAGAGGAACTTTTCTGGGAAATGATTCTCCAAGCTTTCAAACACTTTACAGCAAGTAAACTCTGAATCATTTAAGATAAAACATACAACTGTTTTGATCTTGATTATAAGACTAAATAAATCAAATTTGGGCTGCATTGTCCTTTATAAAAATGAAAGGAGGAAGATGTCTTCAAAACCCTTCTGCCTTCCTTGTTCCTGTGTATCAGGATGTTTTCTTCAGTATCATAGCTCATTAAATGTGTATTAACACTTTCAAAACCATTTATTTTGGAGGAAAATGATAGGTGACAATGACTTGGCTAAACTACTTGTCCTCTAAAGATGAGGTAGAAATTCCATCCCAATCCTGTAGGGAAAAAAGACTACAGCTGGGTGAGTCTTTGAGATAAATTAGAAGAGAAATATAGGAACCAACAGTGGCAAGTTTTATAGCAGAGCACTCATTCCATGTCAGAAGGAGAAATAACCACAAAGAACTACTGAAAAATTCTAGATCCATAGAGACCACAGGGCTAACTGGACAGAACGAGTTTTTTTTTTTTTAAGTGGCTAATCCCAGCCTTCCCTAACTGCATCTCAAATTGTTGTTCCTTATGAATCCATTATGAATTGGTGTCAATTATGTACTGGACCCAAATCTACCACTCTCCCAATAACCAACTAGTAAAAAGTATCCCCTGACACTAAGGCTTCCTACTGGCAGATCGACCTTCTTCATCATTAGATCATAATTGTGGCAATGATGATCCTCTTACTGTTGGTAGTAGAGCTGAGGGGGAATCTATCGCACGTTACTGCAGTGATACCTCTGTGCTTCCTACAAGAGTATCACAGCCACAATTGCTACAATTGGACAAATGCTACTATAAAAGATAAAAACACACAGAAGAATACTTTGCATTATCTGTGTGTGAATTACTTATGGAGATAAGAAAACAATGCCTTTAATAGACTTCATAAACTTTAATAGATTTTAGTAAATGGTCCCCGAACCCTGTGCAATGTACCCTTGTATCTATACATATTTTACAGTATTCATCATATTTTTCTTTTGCTCAGTAACTCAGAAAAAAAGGTGAGGATAAAATGGTGGGAAGTAACAAAGTGAGAGAGGAAGAGATGGGACAATCAGAATGGAATAAGGAGAGACACTCGGGAGCCACTGGTTTAGAAATGGTGGGGGAAAGGAATGGGAATTAATACAACCATTGGAAGAACTGGAGGTCTGATATGCCCTGACTTGAAGCACAAATATTGCTGACAGATCAGAGCAAGAGCTTTATAGGAAGACCACAGTGGCTTAGCAGGCTGCCTCAGTCACCCCAACAGAGGGATTTTTGTGGTATGTTTTATGTTTGTTGGTTTTTTCTCCTTCTGACTGGGCAGCAGCTTTCCCCAGCACACAGAAGAGAACTGAGCTGATTATTTTTGAAATTTCAGGAAGGGAGTTGAGCTTTGCGGTCTGAAAACAGGAAGCTCAGGTTTTAAGTGGAGTGCTGCTGTTGATACGGTACCAGGAGTTCTGGGTTCCAGATTAGACAGCAGATTTTTCATGAGGAAATGAGGAAGGCTGGATTTACTGGTACAACTACTTCTAAAATCCCATGATTCTGATTTACTGAGCTATGTGCTGAAGTCAAACATCAGTGTGTTTGAGTCTCTCAACCAACAACAAAGGAAATGATAATATTGACATAAATTTTAAGAACTCTTTGAAAAAGTACAAAGAAATTCAGATGAAAGATTACATGAAGACCCTGTTTACTTTTCTTGTATATCTGAAACTGTAACTAATAAAATCTTCAATAGCAAAATGAGGATGCCAGAAAGGCCTTTACTACCTCGGATCAATTATAAACAGTTTGGAGAAGAAATAGTGTACAAGTTTGTTATTTTCTTTTGTTTGGTTTAACTTTTCACATTAACATCCTCATAACCCCAGGAAAAAACAGAGCTAGGAAAGTTTGCAAGTTTTATTTTGAAAACGGGCGTGCAATCATAGCTTGTAAAGTCTCAGATTTTTAGAGTATCAAACTTCTAATAAGGCCCTCCAGAAAACTAGTACCAGCGAACTAGGCTAAATTATACCTTAAACCAAGGTTTAAGTTGCAGAGATTAATTCTATCCATACTAGTCCATCCTTCTAATTTTCTTTGATGCCATTTTTGCTCTAATATGCTTAGATATACATCTTATAAACAGTACTTGAAAACTTTGTGTAATTTGAATGTGTGTAATTCAACAGATGGATAATCTCATTTCTTAAATCTTTGTAGATTTACCCAAAGTTAAATAATAACATTTCTATGAGGAACACATTTTTGAAACCTTATAAAATAGCCTTGGAGTTCAAATCAAGGCAAAGATACAAAATAAAAAATAAAGAATTCCAGATGGGTTTCAAAGCAACTTTTCTTTTTTTTGGCCAGGGCCCGGTTTGAACCCGCCACCTCTGGCATATGGGGCCAGCCCCCTACCCCTTTGAGCCACAGGCGCCGCCTGACAAAGCAACTTTCGTATGTAAAAATAATTATCAATAAACTTTTTATCAATTGGAGTTTTTCCAGGTATTATTCAAAATCACAGATTGAACTGTGATATTTTATGTTACATGCAATGTATATATACATGTTACTTTATATCAGCGGTTCTCAGCCTGTGGGTCATGATCCTTTTGTTCCATTTGTAACAATGCAGCAATTAGGAAGGTTGAGAACCACTGCTTTATACAGTAATGTATATTTTATGAACTTTTATTCAATTACATGGGCCTACTGTCTGTAAATAGGCAGAAGAGTCCTGTGCAAATGCAGATAAAATTCTTTTACCTCGATGAGTCTTCTAAATAAATCCAGTGAGCCCATTCTGAAGCAAATAAGCTAGAGCTAGCTCCCCTCCAGCGGTTCAATCAGGATTGCAATTGCCAATCACGTGGAAGCAGTTTTAAAAGATGTTCTGTCGGGGTGGCACCTGTGGCTCAAAGGAATAGGGCACTGGCCCCATATACTGGAGGTGGCGGGTTCAAACCCAGCCCTGGCCAAAAACTGCAAATAAATGAATAAAATAAAAGATCTTTTGTCTTACTACAATTATTTACAAGTGGCTATCTTTACAAACTGTGAATTGGACTCACTGATCTAACTAAAGTTCTTCCGCACTATAAATGACAC